GTAGTGTGTGTGTCACGAATGTTCTGTGTGTCACGAGTGTACTGTGTATGTGTGTGTGTCACGAGTGTACTGTGTATGTGTGTGTGTCACGAGTGTACTGTGTATGTGTGTGTCACGAGTGTTCTGTGTATGTCACGAGTGTACTGTGTATGTGTCACGAGTATACTGTGTGTGTAGTGTGTGTCACGAGTATACTGTGTGTGTAGTGTGTGTCACGAGTATACTGTGTGTAGTGTGTGTCACGAGTGTACTGTGTGTGTAGTGTGTGTCACGAGTGTACTGTGTATGTGTGTGTCACGAGTGTACTGTGTATGTGTGTGTGTCACGAGTGTACTGTGTATGTGTGTGTGTCACGAGTGTACTGTGTATGTGTGTGTGTCACGAGTGTACTGTGTATGTGTGTGTCACGAGTGTTCTGTGTATGTCACGAATGTACTGTGTATGTGTCACGAGTATACTGTGTGTGTAGTGTGTGTCACGAGTATACTGTGTGTGTAGTGTGTGTCACGAGTGTACTGTGTATGTGTGTGTCACGAGTGTACTGTGTGTGTGCTGTATTTCGCACCGCATGCATATATGTCAAGGCCCCATATTTCCAAAGTGTGTATACCGATCCGTATATATACTATGCGTAGTATGTATATACGTGGCCTGTTTTGTGCATCTATGAGTGGCATATATAGATGCCCATATGTATACATAAATGTGTGTGGATCTCTCTCTCTGGGGAGCCGCGTCCTTTCTCAAATAGAGCGGCGATCGGGGATTCGTTTCTATCTCAGCTCTGTCCGCGATATCGACTCAACAACTTTACATCAAAGCCTCCTCCTCAGTTGCATCCGACCCTTCGCATTGCTCACGGGACTCACAATTCGCCCACTTCGCCAGCTGTTTGTGGTGTCTGTAATTGCCACAGTCAAAACACAGTTTGTGTCCCGTTTTCTCAAGACGTCTGCCCATGTGTGTGTGTATCACGAGTGTTCTGTGTGTGTGTGTCACGAGTGTTCTGTGTGTGTGTATCACGAGTGTTCTGTGTGTGTGTGTGTCACGAGTGTTCTGTGTGTGTGTGTATCACGAGTGTTCTGTGTGTGTGTCACGAGTGTTCTGTGTGTGTGTGTGTCACGAGTGTTCTGTGTGTGTGTGTCACCAGTGTTCTGTGTGTGTGTGTGTATCACGAGTGTTCTGTGTGTGTGTGTATCACGAGTGTTCTGTGTGTGTGTCACGAGTGTTCTGTGTGTATGTATCACGAGTGTTCTGTGTGTGTGTCACGAGTGTTCTGTGTGTGTGTGTCACGAGTGTTCTGTGTGTGTGTGTATCACGAGTGTTCTGTGTGTGTGTGTCACGAGTGTTCTGTGTGTGTGTCACGAGTGTTCTGTGTGTGTATCACGAGTGTTCTGTGTGTGTGTATCACGAGTGTTCTGTGTGTGTGTCACGAGTGTTCTGTGTGTGTGTGTATCACGAGTGTTCTGTGTGTGTGTGTATCACGAGTGTTCTGTGTGTGTGTCACGAGTGTTCTGTGTGTGTGTGTGTCACGAGTGTTCTGTGTGTGTGTGTGTCACGAGTGTTCTGTGTGTGTGTGTGTCATGAGTGTTCTGTGTGTGTGTCACGAGTGTTCTGTGTGTGTGTATCACGAGTGTTCTGTGTGTGTATCACGAGTGTTCTGTGTGTGTATCACGAGTGTTCTGTGTGTGTGTGTGTCACGAGTGTTCTGTGTGTGTGTCACGAGTGTTCTGTGTGTGTGTGTATCACGAGTGTTCTGTGTGTGTGTGTATCACGAGTGTTCTGTGTGTGTGTGTGTCACGAGTGTTCTCTGTGTGTGTATCACGAGTGTTCTGTGTGTGTGTATCACGAGTGTTCTGTGTGTGTGTCACGAGTGTTCTGTGTGTGTGTCACGAGTGTTCTGTGTGTGTGTCACGAGTGTTCTGTGTGTGTGTATCACGAGTGTTATTTATGTGTGTGTGTCACGAGTGTTCTGTGTGTGTGTGTGTCACGAGTGTTCTGTGTGTGTGTATCACGAGTGTTCTGTGTGTGTGTGTCACGAGTGTTCTGTGTGTGTGTATCACGAGTGTTATGTATGTGTGTGTGTGTCACGAGTGTTCTGTGTGTGTGTATCACGAGTGTTCTGTGTGTGTGTGTCACGAGTGTTCTGTGTGTGTGTATCACGAGTGTTCTGTGTGTGTGTATCACGAGTGTTCTGTGTGTGTGTGTGTCACGAGTGTTCTGTGTGTGTATCACGAGTGTTCTGTGTGTGTGTCACGAGTGTTCTGTGTGTGTGTGTGTCACGAGTGTTCTGTGTGTGTGTGTGGGAAGCTGTCGTGCAACAACGGTCAGCGCGCTGCGCTACGAACCCGGCGACACGGGTTTCGATTCCCCGCTCACGGCCAACACCGGTGGCGATTATCTAAACCGGCCCTGGGCCTCCCCTAGGTCGACTCGACCTCAAATGAGTATCTGGTGCGGGGTGTAAACACCGCCACTGGGGAGACAAAGGCGGCCGGGCGTGGTGTTGGCCACCCACCCCCTCGCGTGCCATGCCTTCCTTCATAGGTGCTCGCTAACAGCACTTGCCCCAACAGTCTGTTTTAGGCTATACGGGGGAATCTTTACATTTGTATATTTCGTGGTATATATGTGTCCGTAGCATTGACCAAGTATGTAATTCGCATTGACGTGTTCATACATACACGTGCATTCTTTTGTAAGCACACGTGCAATTTGCGCGTTCTCGTTTAAGGTTGAGTCGACCTAATGGAGTCCGTGGACCGGTTCAGACATCACTCAGATCGCCGCGGGCACATAACCACGGACGGAATCACGTACGCATGCAACACACGCACGCGTGCGTACTGCAACGCGTGCGTGTGCACAAGCGTGCGTCGTGTGCGTGCCCACAAGTTTACAAGAACACGCCGAGTGTGCGTGGGCGTGTGCGGAGCGGTGGTGCAGCGGATAGCGCTCTGCGCTACGAACCCAGCCACCCCCAGTTCGATTCCCGCTCCTGGGCATTCCCTCGGTCGACACCAGCCTCAAATGGTGGTGATGGTGGTTGATGGTGATGATGTGTGTAAACGTCGACTGGGGAATCGAAGGCGGCCGGGCGTGGTGCTGGCCACCCACCCGCTCGTGTGCCGTGCCAGCCTTCACAAGCCCTTCTCTATTCGGTTCCATTTCGGATGTATAGAGCGCCAGCACTTGCCCCAAATGTCTATTAAGACTACACGAGGGATCTTTGTCTTTGTATATACAGTACCGGTAGCGTCACCCGCGTACGCTTTGTTCATCTTGTAGCGTGTGTGTGTTTGTATACGAGGATGTTGCGCGCGTATATAATTATGTATATATATACACGAAGGGGGGTCTCCATGTATATATGTACTAAAATATTTTTCTACGTAGGAAACGAGTTGTGAATGTACGTGGTTTGGCTAAGTTAATGCGCGTATGCTTTGAGGGTACTTTACACACGTACGTATCATAAACGGTGTTATCTACATATGCATGAAATAATGTGTGTATATATATAACGTAAATGTGTCGTATTTATTCCAATGTGTTGTACCTATTGTAATCAACAAAATCGTTCTCCAGTGCACAAAGAATCATGGAGTGGTGCATTCTTAGAATGACAGAGGCGGGGAGGGGGGTACGTGGAGGAACACGTGGAGTAGAGACGGGGGGGGCACGTGGAGTAGAGACGGGGGGGGCACTTGAAGGAACACATGGAGTAGAGACGGGGGGGGGCACTTGAAGGAACACGTGGAGTAGAGGATACAAGCGCGTTCAAGACGTCATTGACAATGCAGAGAGATGCGAGTGGGTTTGGGCGTCAGACCGCCTTTGTCTCCCTGGTGCCGATGGTGGCCAGTGGTCAAGAATAATAACGGAGTGCCAACTAAGGACTAGAACGTACCCAAGGGAGTCGGGACCTCCGAGGAGATGGAGCGATAGAATCAGCTCGAGTGCGGGTTTTATCGGTGGATCGTTAATTACATGGCGAGGCATGGCGGCTGCTTGGGGAGAGGCCTTCATCCAGCAGTGGATCAACCATGGCTGAAAACATACGCAATGCGCTACGAACCCGGACCACGGCTCACGTCAGTGGCTAATTATGTCTGCACTGCCCCTGGGTTCCGTTCACCAGCCCCTAATAACCAGCGTGGTGAAGTATGGTCCATGAAACCCTCATGACCAACACGGTTATGCGGGAGGCCTTCATCCAGCAGTGGATTGATATTGATTTGGCTCTAAAGGTTATATGTGTATCAATATATACATAACATACGTAGTGTGTTTACGTACTGTGTATATATGTGTATTATGACATACGCGTGGATGTTTTATGTTTCTGTGCAAATACTGTCAACGTGTGATGCTTCTCTCCGGAGTACGCGCGCAGCTCCACCAATCACACGTGGCGCTACGAGCCCCGTCTCCCATCATAATCATCATCATTCTCATCAGCATCATCATCATCATCGGCCACCAGGCACCACAGCCCCGCGTCCTACATGCCCAGATCCTACATCATCATCATCGTGAGCCGTGATCTATCCACTGCTCGATGCAGGCTTCCCCAAGCCGTCGGCAACTGCCTGCCGCTCCGTTGTTAGTCTCCACCATCGCCTGTCTGTCCTCGCCCGTGAGGCTGATTGCCCAAGCCCCACTCGCTTCTCTTCAGCACTTTGGGGTGAAGTCGTGAACCTGCGCAACTTCTCTCTCTCTAACCCACGTGTTCCTCTCTCTCTCTCTTTCTGCCTCGCTCGCAGTGTCAATTCCAAGAGCGCGTCTCTCCACGCATGTATCACTCTCATCACGGTCCATCCACTAGTGGACGAAGATCTATGTAAAGCTGTAAGCCTGCGCGATAACAACAACAACACGCGTGCCATCTCTCGGAGCGCTCAGACCCACCACCACCCCATCAACGGGTTAAATAAAACCGAACCACTCGCACCCGCAGGAGTTGCAACAACTCCACACCGGGCTCGAAGCTCTCTTACCGGGGTAGGCGACTGCCGGATGGTGGAGGAGCTCCATGCCCGGAGCGCCTAGACCCAGGCCGTTCATGGCGTAGGGAGACTGCTTGAGATACGACATCATGCCTGGGACGCCTCGCTCGAGCTGCTTGGGGGGGGGGCAGGGGGGGGGTAGCTTCTTGACGAGGGGAACGAGGAGTGGTGGTGGTGGTGGCCGAGGAGCGAGTCGCAGGTTCGCTCCCGGTGGTCAGCTTCCTGCGCAATCGGTGGGGTCAGGGGAGGTAAGGAGGGAGGGAGGGAGAGCGAGGAGAAGGGGGTTGGTGGTGGTCAGCTGGGAGCGGTGGTGCAGTGGTTAGCGCACTGCGCTACGGGCCATGCGACACCGGGTAAGATTCCCGCTCACGGCCGCCACAAATGACGATTATCTGAACCGATCCTGGGCCTTCCCCTAGGTCGACTCAGCATAAAATGAGTACCTGGCACGGTGTGTAAACATTAACCACTCGGGAGACAAAGGCGGCCGGGCGTGGTGCTGGCCTCCAACCAGCTCTTGTGCCGTGCCGGCTTTCATAGGTGCTACTCGCTAACAGCACTTGCCCCAACAGTCTGTTAAGGCTACACGGGGGGGTCTTTGTCTTTGTTTGGTGGTCAGGAGCGAGCGAGATGACTCCCCATCTCTCTCGCCTCCACAGAGTACAGTCATCACAATTAGGGAACTGTTCATTGGTTAATTGATATTCACGATACATAAAAACAAAAACTCTCTACATTCGTCAATTACTCTGCCCAGAAGTTGAACTATAACTGTCGAGATTTCTGGAGTTCTTGTGCACGTGCTTGCGTGCGTATTTGTATTCTTTTACGGCCCCGTGTTATTTGTGCACCACAGCCAACGCAGCATCACGAACATCTCGCCTTGTAACAGACCAATGTAGCGTTCTGACGTTTTCCGAGCAAATGAACCCTTGATAAAGTGAATCAAAACATACTTCAAATAGGCTGTGCGCGCGCGCTCTCGCGTGTGTGTGTCCGCCGGTTGTGTGACGAAAACGCAGACGTTCTTCGGTAATAAACACGATGACAACAACAACAATAACAACAACAACAACAAAAAGTGCCACTCTAGAGAGTCACTTGCACACGCGCCCACGTTGTGCTCCGGTCGCGATCGCACGAATCACACCGCGGTGACGTCACGGCGTTCACGCGTTAAAAGTGAACGCGTTAAAGTGAAAGCGCTAAAGTGAACGCGTTATAGTGAACGCGTTATAGTGAACGCGTTATAGTGAACGCGTTAAAGTGAACGCGTTAAAGTGAACGCGTTATAGTGAACGCGTTAAAGTGAACGCGTTATAGTGAGCGCGTTATAGTGAAAGCGTTAAAGTAAACGCGTTAAAGTGAACGCGTTATAGTGAACGCGTTATAGTGAAAGCGTTAAAGTGAACGCGTTAAAGTGAACGCGAAGGTCGTTCGCTTGCTCCTCTCGAGGCTCGCACGCAAACCGCCCTCGGTGTGTCTCTACAAGACAAACAGCTGATAATTAGGAGGGGGGGAGGGGTGATCGAGTAATTTAGGCATTCCTGTAATTGATTAACTTAATCATCCGCAGTCGGGAGCCTCACACAAGTTGCGGGCACTTCCAGGTCCGCTTACAATCGGATGTGGCAGAGACAGGTTGAATATTCATCATCAACATCAGCCGCAGGAGCCATGGTCAATCCACTGCTGGATGAAAGCCTCTCCAAGCCACCCGATGATAGAATAATCCACGTAGCGCTCGCCTGCGCAACAGCTGGATTCACTGCTCCATCTCCACGCATCACGAGATTCCTTGGCCGTCCGCTCGGTTATAACGATCGGATGAATGTGTGCGTGTGTGTAAGTATGCCGTGGTGTAGCGGTTAGCGCGCTGCGCTACGAACCCGGCGGACCGAGTTCGATTCCCGCTCACGGCCATCGCCAGTGACGATTAATCCGTCCTGGGCCTCCCCTAGGTCGAGCCCGCCTCAAATGAGTACCTGGTGCGGTGTGTAAACATCGCAACTGGGGAGACAAAGGCGGTCGGGCGTGGTTGTTGGCCACCCACCCCCTCGTGTGCCGTGCGGGCCTTCATAGGAGCTCGCTAACAGCACTTGCCCCAACAGTCTGTTCAGGCTACACGAGGGATCTCGTGTCTCTGCTACATCTCTGTTTTGTTTGTTTGTGTCGCCGGCTCGGCTGGCCGTGGCTCTCCGAAGCGGCGCTCATCAATAATGCACGCGACAGGGCGACGACTCGAGGTTACACTCGAAGGGCCTTGATCGTAGCGACCTTTAGCGCGATTGATGTCGCGCCGCTGTCCGGCAGCCGTCGAGGCGCGCGCCGCGGCCCCACGCGCTCGTCCCGCAGACTGCACCCACCGCCACCACCACCGCCACCGCCGCCACCACCACCGCCACCACTACCACCACCACCGCCAGCACCACCGCCGCCACCACCGCCACCACCACCACCGCTGCCACCGCCACCACCGCCACCACCACCACCACCGTCGTCGTCGCTTGAGGCGCCGTGGTGGCTAGGAGATGTTAACTACCTCGCCTGGTGTACAGGAGGTCGTGGCTAGGAGATGTTAACTACCTCGCCTGGTGTACAGGAGGTCGTGGCTAGGAGATGTTAACTACCTCGCCTGGTGTACAGGAGGTCGTGGCTAGGAGATGTTAGCTACCTCGCCTGGTGTACAGGAGGTCGTGGCTAGGAGATGTTAACTACCTCGCCTGGTGTACAGGAGGTCGTGGTTAGGAGATGTTAACTACCTCGCCTAGTGTACAGGAGGTCGTGGCTAGGAGATGTTAACTACCTCGCCTGGTGTACAGGAGGTCGTGGCTAGGAGATGTTAACTACCTCGCCTGGTGTACAGGAGGTCGTGGCTAGGAGATGTTAACTACCTCGCCTGGTGTACAGGAGGTCGTGGGTTCGATCCCGACCATGAGGCCTGCAGCTGCTGTATATTTGGAGTTTGCGTGTCTCTCTCTCCCCGTGTCCGCGTGAATCTTTCTCCAGATCTCCCGGTGTTTCACTCCACAGTTTAGAAACACGCGTTTAAAGTGTTTGGCTGCTCTAGACGACCACGTGATAGCCAACTTCGCTATCATTTGTGATCGGCAGGTTGCTTCTGAAACAAATAAATAAATAACTCTGCGGTCCTTACCTGCTAAAATAAGAATTTAAAAAACTAGTTTGAGAGTGTTTAACGTCCGTGGTTGCACATGCCTAGCGCTAAGAACCCGCGTGTTCGACCCCAATGATTCAACCATTGTTGCATATTCGTTCTACTGTATAGGCAGGGCTTCGTTTCAGCCGGAACGGCTCGGAACGCTGTGCCGGGAATGTTTTTTGGCCACTGCACATCCATCTCGCCTTATTTTATCCTCACGATTCTGCGGTGTGTTCATAAGATAGTAGCAATATAGGGTACAATAATTTAGGATTACGATTATTGTTATGACAGATATGCATATTTAGTACTCTATATGTATGTTGAACGTCTTTCACACCGTACGTAGCCAACCGTACTAATCGGAGATGTGGCGGAATGACAACAAATGAAACACAAAAAGCAGTTCTAAAGAAATAAGTTTTAGTGGCAATGCTAGTGGTAGTGCCTTAGGCCGATAAGCCCTTACTCCAAGCCAGTCGAGTGAGAAATGAAACCGTGCCCTGCAGAGTTTGGTCCAGGAGCGTACGGCCCTAATGGTTAACGAGAGGTGAATGCGTAGATGCATGCGAGCATGTCCTTAGAGGTTTGCGTAATGTAGCGAGTTAGATTAAATTTATATTTTAAACGAATTTCATAAATTATGTATGTGACGGTTACAGCCTCCAGGAGTCTCAAGCTTCCCTCTTCAGGCGAGTCCTGCCCACAATTGCCTCTTGTCCTCCTCTATCTACGGAGTGTGCTGAGAAGCTGCGCTATTAAACCCAGAGACTACAGTTCGATTCTCGGCCATGGCTAACGTCAGCGTGCGAGTATAAATCTTAGCCGAGTCCCCCTATCCGCCGCCCCGCCATCTCCTTCTTCGCCACCAACTCGCACTGCACACTGACCAGCGTGGCGAAGTATGGTCAAACAATCCCCACGACCAACACGGTGCGGGAATGCCTTGCGCTGTGAACTTCTATTGGCTGTGGTCAAGAGCCGAGCCGCTATGGACGTCGCCGTGATCGCTGCTCCGTCCTGTCACGGGCTGTCGCTCACGGAGGGCGGGTTGGTGGTCAAGGCAATGTCCGCTCGCTCTCTCCCCGTGTAACAACTCAACAACAACATTAATAATAATCATACTCATAATCACCTCCACCACCACTGCCATCATTACTGCAGTCATTGTAATCATCTATCCAGCAGGGCCTTGCAGAGTCTGGGTTTCGTATTTCGCGTGGCTATGTCTGTATCGCGTACGTCTATGTGTCTGTATTGCTGTGTCTGCACTGCTTGTGTATGTATTTGGAAATAATCACACTTATAAAAAAAATTCTCAGCAGTGTTCATAGCAGGGGACGCAGCTATCGATTGAATAATTATACCATCGAAAGCTCACGAGTGCGCTTACGGTCAGCTCTAACCCTGTACACATTAAACAATGAGCGTAACTTATGAATGCGTGATCACAATGCCCCCCCCCCCCATCATACTTATCAGCGCCGTCGCCGAGGTACGCGCAGATATAAAAGCGTCAGCACGGCTACAGTCCCTGGGATCTTAGCGCGGGATGAACTCTCGGGGTGCCTTTTGCGTTGCGAGTCAGCGGCACGACAGCTGCCGCGCCGTTGTCGCTGACCGCTGTTGCTCGAGGGGCTCGCGCCGTGATCAGCTGGACGGACAGCGCGCTCCGCGAAGTCGTCCGTGAGGAGTTCGTGCAAGCGCGCGACTCTGGTTGGGGAGTTCAGCGCCAGTAGTTGGGTTCGGACGAGCGGCCACGCGAAGCGCGCCGAGTCAGCGGGGGGAGGGGGGGGGGGGGTTCGGACTCTGGAAGTTCGTCAATTGCGGCGCATTTTTGTCTACCCACACCGAGGCGTCGTTTCTGCCCGAACGCAAATGGCAACGCGGACTGTGTCGCCACACACACAAAAGAACAAAAATCCCCCGTATAGCCCTACACAGACTGTCGGGGCGAGTGATGTTAGCCACACGCGCACGCGCGCGCCTGCAAGTTAGTTTGGCAGCAAACATTTTGCCACGTGTTTGGGAGATGTTGAAATGCCACAAAAGTTGCGGGTGAGCGCAACTGTTCAGCAGCGACGGCACAGATAGCGAGCGAGCCGTGTGGAAGAGGTGAGCTGTCGCCTCATTGAGCGCGCTGGAGAGAAGGAGGTGGGGGGGTGATATGCGTGGTGTGGGAATCGAGATTTTGTGTCCGCAAATGTTTTTGTTGTGTAAGTCGCTGGCGCTCGGAATCACGCACGCGGGATTAGGCGACACGGGGCGACACGCGCCACCGTGGCCATGCATGGCTTTAAAGTTAATCAGCAAAGCTTTTGGGAAAAATTCCTAATTTACGAGATATATTAAAATGCTAATTTCTTTGATCGCTCCGATTCTCTAAAGCATTTATTTTATATGCTGGTATTTTTTTTTCTTATTTCGGGTTGGAGGCGATGGCGTACGAAACGCGCACATGCGCGTTCCGCGGTGCTGTATGAATGGGGCGCGCGGCTGCGCTCTGAACATGATTAATTATGCCGTCTCTGTGATGAAGAATTGATTTAAATAAATGACTGCTTGATAGTGTAATTAGATAATCCGGGCCGCCTGTGTTTGTTAATTATAAACGAGCTGTGACAAACAGCGCTGCGACTCCTCCGCCCACGCCGAACAGCAGCACGGCGAAGCTCCGAGAATGAAGAAACACCGTGGCGCGTGCCGCAATACGCTCACACACAGAGACACACACACAGACACACACACGGACACACACACAGACACACACACAGACACACACAGACACACACACAGACACACACACAGAGACACACACAGACACACACACAGAGACACACACACAGAGACACACACAGACACACACAGAGACACACAGACACACAGACACACACACAGACACACACAGACACACACACAGAAACACACAGAAATACACAGGCACACACAGACACACACAGAGACACACAGAGACACACAGACACACACAGACACACACACACAGACACACACACACAGACACACACACAGAGACACACACAGAGACACACACACAGACACACACACAGACACACACACAGACACACACAGAGACACACACACACAGACACACACACAGACACACACAGAGACACACACAGAGACACACACACAGACACACACAGAGACACACAGACACACACAGAGATACACACACACAGACACACACACAGACACACACAGAGACACACAGAGACACACAGACAAACACAGACACACACAGACACACACAGAGACACACAGATACAGACACACACACAGACATACACAGACACACACACAGACACACACAGAGACACACACAGACACACACAGACACACACACAGACACAGACACACACACAGACACACACACAGAGACACACACACAGAGACACACACACAGAGACACACACACAGACACACACACAGACACACACACAAACACACAGAGACACACACAGACACACACACAGACACACACACAGACACACACACAAACACACAGAGACACACACAGACACACACACAGACACACACACAGACACACACAGAGACACACACAAAGACACACACAGACACACACAGAGACACACACAGACACACACAACCAACACTGCCGCTTGTTTTAGCGCTGCATCGCGTAGGTGAGTTGTCGGGTTGTGCTGTTAAAATCGCGACACTGATGACTCACATCACGACAATGCGATGAGACGCGCGCAATATTTAAACACGAATAACTATATGTTATATATTCTTGGTTCTTTCAACGTGACTTTACCGAAAGAACAAAGAATATGAATCACTGCAGTCACGAAAGCTTTAAATCAATATATATTTTTCAAAATTTCGATACACGAATTGAAACGATTAACAAAAAAATATCCACGAATGGATGAGAGCGATAACAAACGGTTTCTTTTCATGTAATTAATTGTCTAATTAAACGCTGATAGCATTTGGTAAATAAGTCGCCACCAGGTTTCCTCCCGCCCTAAACCTAGCGAGATAGCATCTTGCGCGCTGCAAGTCGAGGCTCCCGATGCTCTTAAAGTCGCCTCCATGTGCGACTCGGAACCCGCACGGCGACTCCACAAAACTGTGCCCCCCCCCCCAACACTCCGCCGAGAAGTTTAACTGGAAGCGACTTTTCTCGGCGCGGCGCTTTCCTTCAGCCCGCCCCAGCCGTTGCTTTGCCCCGAGCACAACCGAGGCGGGCACATCTGCCCACCCGGCTTGGGAAACCCGAGCGCAGCTCCTAAACACCCCTCCTGCCTGGTCGCGGCAACCACCACCACCACCAGCAGCACCACCACCACGCCTAGGCAATTAATTGAACACGCATCCACGCGACGCCGTCATTCCCGAACAACGAGCAGAGCGCGCACAATGCCGCGATCTGGTGGGAAGCACGCGCGGCTGCGCTCCATGGAGCACAACGCTGAGCACAACGTGCAGCACAACAAGGAGCACAACGTGGAGTAGAACTGCCCGGGACAAGGAAATCTGGACCCCGTCTCTCTCGTGAACTGCTCCCTCAAACAGCGCCCCTCTCTTCTCGCACTGTTCACTCCTCACCCCAAACTCCGAGGCGTTGTGCCCCCTCGCTCCGCTCCGACTGAACACGCCGCAAGTCGAATTTAAACCTCACCACAACACAGAACACAACACACTGGCCATGGCCCACAGAATACAACACACTGGTCATGGCCCACAGAGTACAACACACTGGCCATGGCCCACAGAGTACAACACACTGGCCATGGCCCACAGAACACAACACACTGGCCATGGCCCACAGAATACAACACACTGGCCATGGCCCACAGAATACAACACACTGGTCATGGCCCACAGAGTACAACACACTGGCCATGGCCTACAGAGCACAACACACTGGTCATGGCCCACAGAACACAACACACTGGCCATAGCCCACAGAATACAACACACTGGCTATGGCCCACAGAATACAACACACTGGTCATGGCCCACAGAATACAACCCATTGGCCATGGCCCACAGAATACAACACACTGGCCATGGCCCACAGAATGCAACACACTGGTCATGGCCCACAGAGTACAACACACTGGCCATGGCCCACAGAACACAACACACTGGCCATAGCCCACAGAATACAACACACTGGCCATAGCCCACAGAATGCAACACACTGGCCATGGCCCACAGAATGCAACACACTGGCCATAGCCCACAGAATACAACACACTGGCCATGGCCTACAGAATACAACACACTGGCCATGGCCTACATAATACAACACACTGGTCATGGCCCACAGAATACAACACATTGGCCATGGCCCACAGAATACAACACACTGAACATAGCCCACAGAATACAACACACTGGCCATGGCCTACAGAATACAACACACTGGCCATGGCCTACATAATACAACACATTGGCCATGGCCCACAGAATACAACACATTGGCCATGGCCCACAGAATACAACACATTGGCCATGGCCCACAGAATACAACACATTGGCCATGGCCCACAGAACACAACACACTGGCCATAGCCCACAGAGTACAACACACTGGTCATGGCCCACAAAATACAACACACTGGTCATGGCCCACAGAATACAACACACTGGTCATGGCCCACAGAATACAACACACTGGCCATAGCCCACAGAGTACAACACACTGGTCATGGCCCACAGAATATAACACATTGGCCATGGCCCACAGAATACAACACACTGGTCATGGCCCACAATGCAACACACTGGCCATAGCCCACAGAATACAACACACTCGACGTGGCCCACAGCAACGTGGATACTTGTCACGGCCGCTAAGGCCCTGACGGCCCTGGCGCGTTGTTTGTCGTTGTTACATTTGTGGAGTAACATCCAACATTTTATTTCCGGTGGTGTCGCTGACCCGAGGTTATTTTAATTTATTGAGAATATATATATATTTTTTATCTTTCTTCATCTCCTGACCATGAATCTCTAGACGGGCGACGCGTGCAGGAGCCGCCGTGACTATCCTGTTATTTAAATGTCGTTGATGTCGCTGCTGTGGCCGTGGCGAGGAGATGGTGCGCTTGTGGCGAACTCACCGGAGAGAGAAGCTCTGGAGTCGAGACGAGAGACGCGCGGAGGAGCGAGAGGCGCGGATCGGCGGAGTGCGGCCGGACGGACGAGAAGAGGCGATTGAGCGCTCCCCCCCCCCCCCCCCCTCTCTGCGTCACGCTCTGAACGAAGCGCGCAACTTCGTTAATTCTCTCCTGCAAATCCACGGGCTGCTCGGATCTCCCGAATGACGATTATGATGATGAGGAGAACGATGCTGCTGATGGTGATGATTGGGCACCTGAGCAGCGCAGTGGCTGCTGATGATGAAGAATGCGATGATGATGATGATGCACGGGCGCGGAGCCGTGCTCGAGCGCGCATGCGGTGGGGGGTGGAGATGTTCGGTCTCGTGGCAGAGGGGGCGGCGGTGGTGATGGTGATGGTAGTTAGTGATAGTGGTGTTCGTTGGTGATAGTGATGGCGATAGAGGAGGAGGAGGAAGATGAAGAGGAGGAGGGGTGGCTGGCGACACCACGACGGACGATGTAAACTTGTCGGTGTGTGGACACGGGCTGGAGTGACGGAGAGACCCTCATAGCTTCGCGTCCTCCTATCCGCGCGCAAGTGATGTCAGCCACAGCGAGCGCCAATCAGGGCAGCGGCTCGAGGTAGGGGTGGTGGTGGTGAGGTGTGTCCGTGTGTGTCTGTGCGCGCGGTGTGCACGCCTTGGTGGGGCGGGGGTTGGGCTGCTGGGATTAATCCGGACTCGTGTTTGATTCGCATCAAATCCACGAGTCCCACGGCCGCGCTTCGGCACCCGTACGGGTCCCCGTATCGCCGCAGCCGCTAACGGCGCGCCACTCGATTCACTTCGCGTGTATTCATTAATTGCTGTGAATTAACGAGTCTTAGCCGCGCAGTGGTGTTTGTCGTGCGCATTCTACCACGGCGGCGGCGGCTGCTGCTATTGTTGTTGTGGTTTGTTCGTTCGCATCGGAGCTGGGAGTTGGGAGCTCCGGGGATGTTCTGGCATCGTCCGTTTTGTCTGCCCACGGTCGCATGCCGAGGTTGTAGCTCGCACCCGCATCGTGACAAACTTTGTGCTTGGTGATCAGTCGCCCTGCTGCCGGGTGGGTGGCTTCTCGGCCCTGCTGCTGGCTGCTGTGTCGCTCTCCCGTGTGGTGATTTCGGCTTTGTGCCGCGTGCTGTTCGGAACGATGTCCCGACGTTTCGCTTCACGTTCTGCGTGCGGTGGGTGGGGCAGCTTTTTCGGGAGTTTGAGGAGGAGAAGCTGCCACTCGGAACGTCGGGCATCGTCAGTTTCTTGATGGAACACCGCGCGGTGCCTACCGCGACGCGGAAAGCAGCTTCGTCTCTCGGTCGCCGATGCTGCAGCTGCCAAAGTGGTCGCGTGATGGTCAGCGAATTGGACTCGCAATCCAGACTTTTTGCGGGTTCGACTCCAGCTTTTATAGCGTGAACACATTGAATAGTTTTTTTTTTAGTAAATTCATAATTATTACAATTGTGGTCGGCGTCACCACGACGTGCGCGTGTCTGTGTGTATGTTATGATAATGTATTTATATAAGCGTCCACTTTCCGCTTGGATCGGAGTCGCGAACCCCGTGGTGGCACGGGATGGCGCGCGGTGCGGAGGAACCCGCGACTCCGCGACCGCTTCCGTGGAGTCGCGCGCGCGCGCGCGCGGGCGAGGGCGAAATAAAAACCAGCGCGGCTAGCGCGAATCTCGACGTCGCACGTTGCCTAAGAACAGCGACGAAGGCGACAGCGGCGGCGCGACGTCGTGGCCACCGCGTCAACGTGGGTTCGGATTTTCTTAAAATGGCAGTATTGGATTTCAGTTGTGCACGGGGCTTTGTTCGCTCCCTGCGCTCTTCGCCCTAAAGTGGAAAATGGTCGGGCCCGGCTGAATGCCAGATTAGACCCTATTGCTATTCGGAGGTGGTGGGGGAGTAGGGGAGTGGAGGGGTGGGGGGCTTTCGCTGAAAGGGTGTGCAGTGAACGAGAAGGGATCAGCTCTGGTGATCGGAAAAAAACCTGGTGCGGTGCTGTGGAGGAGGGGAAGGTGGTGGCTGCGGTGGCGAGGGGATGGAGGGGCCACGATTGTTCACCACCTTCAAAGCCCCCAACCCCCCCTCTACCCCCCTCGAAACGACCCCAGCAAAACCAACCCCCCCCCCCCCTCCCTCAATACGCGCTTTGCCGGTACCGGCCCTGGCATTGGGGGTTGGGGAGGTTTGGTGGAGGTTGCGTCTGCCGAGGTGGGGGTGTTAGTTGGGTCCGGCAAATTCGCCCGTGCCCCCCACACCTCCCCACCCCCCAGTCTCTGAACCCCGCGGGCGCGGGTCCCATTCTGTGAGCCCCCCCAGGTGAATGCGCTTCGGGCCGAAGCGCGCGGCCACCGACGGGCAAAGGCCGCGCCGTGCCGGCCCCGTATGTGGCCGCGGGCCTTTGTGTACGCGCGCCTCTTTCCCCCCCCCCCCCCCCCCGAGGGATTTTTTCCCCTCCTTTTCTTTATTTCGTTCCTCTTTCTCTCTCTCTCTTTCTCTCTCTTTTCTCTCTTTTCTCTCTCTTTCTCTCTCTCTTTTCTCTCTCTCTCTCAGACGCCTTCCCTCAGCCGCGGCGGTTAATGCGCACCATCCCGCCTTTCTCGGCCCGACGCACGGGAAACTGAGCTAATGCGTCTTCACCCACACAAAGCGGTCCGCCACTCGTCCCCCGAGATGCCATCCGTGGTGCGGCCGTCGTCGACACGCGATGTGTACACGCCGAGTTTACACCGCACACCGCGAGCGCTTTTGCAGAGGGGTCCTTTATCCAGCCCGCCGCTGCTGCTGCTGATGATGATGATGACGATGATACATAGACTACAGTCGCAGTGATTGATGCTGTCGAACTCCCCAGAACTCGCCCACAGGAAATTCACTCGTTCATCGTCAGCGGTGGCGATGGACGAAATATTCACGTTTCTCTGACGCAGATTCTCGCGCGTAATAATCATAATGATAACCCCAAACGCTGTTGTTTTTACGATGGAAGTAGCGCTTTAAAATGATAATTAACAAGCCATGGTCAACCCACTGCTAGGTGAAGGCCTCCGAAAGCCTCCGCCACGGTTCACGATCCTGCGATGTAATAATCCAGCGAGCCCTCCGCACGTGAACATAATAATTCATCGCTCCATCTCCTCGGCCGAGGATACTCTCGGACGCATTCCATTCCACGGCTGCCACCCCGTTATGAATATTGCCCCTCGGTAATCAATCCCCGTCTAGCGGGACGGGTGGCGCGTTTGAGTGTCACAGCGGATCCCCGTGTCGACGGCGAGTCCGTGGAGTTGTGGCTCTCACGTTGCATCAAACCAAGCGTCGTCTCTCCCCCCCCCCACCACCAACGCGGAGGCCGGAGCGACGCGCGTGTCTTGCACACGAACCGCCGTGACCCACCGGCTCATCGCGTTCGTGGGAGCGACGTTCAAGGAGGGTTGGTTGGAAAGCTGAAATTCGTCGCAAATAAATATCAACGTCGGTAAATATGAAGAGCCAAATTTCAGCGGTTCTTTTATTTTATTTTGCGCCTCTCAGAAAGGAGGGCGCCGAGCTGATTGAGTTCACAAGCAAGGACGGCTCGCTCGAGAGGTTCCACATCGGGTCGCCTGTTGCACACTCACCAACACACGAACCCATCAACAGTGAACCGTGTAGCTCGCCTCCCGTTGAGTGGGACGCTAAAGCCGATAAATAGCGGCCGGTTGCGAGTACAAGCACACGAACATATGTAGCATGATAACTACCCAGGACATGCTGACAATTAGACAGCTTTTGAATAATAATAATACGAATGTGTCATGATGTACGGCCCTTTATCAATCCACCGCTGAATGAAAGCCTGCACGCATCGTGTCGGTCGTGGGGGGCTGTGTGGCCATACTTCACCGTGATGGTTAGTTCGGGGCTGGCGTAACGCGAGACAGCCAGTACCGGGTCACGTTTCACTCGCCACTCAATTTAAAACCCTGGCCGAGACTCGAACTCGGGTTTTTTTTTTTAGTTTGAAATGCCGTGCCCTTGCCACCGCTCGATCGCTCCCCCTGTTGCACTGCGTGAATGTTTATTAAAATCACACCAAACACACGCGGGTTGCTAGATCGGCGGTGAAAATCCACATCGTCAAACAAACGCAGCATCAACAACGCTAACAGCAACGATTAACGCGCGGCCTGCGAACCGTTCAAAGAAGCACCAATGCGTCGCAGCGATTGAATGCATTTATTCATCATCAACATCATTAGCCATAGTCAATCCACTGCTAAAGGTCTCCCCGGACCGTTGCCGTCACCACCTCTCACCATCCCGCGATGTAACGACAATAACAACAACAACAGCAGTAGTTCAACAACATTCGCTCTCGTCGGCGGTGAACGCGGTCAACTCGGGCGAGTTCCGTTGCGACGAGCGGTGTTTCCCGTTGTGCCTCTGCAATACAACAACACGAGTTGTGTATCGCAATACACACACGAGTTGTGTATCGCAATACACACACGAGTTGTGTATCGCGATACACAACACAAGTTGTGTATTGCGATACACAACACGAGTTGTGTATTGCTCGGCCTGTTTGCCCCTAGCCGCTTCCTCTGTCGACGGCCGCTGTCCGCGCGTGACCGGCCCAGAACCGTGCGCGCTGCCGCTGCTGATCGTGGAGCGCAGCACGTGGGGGTAGCAACATCGCGCGGGCGTTAACCCGGGTCGCCAAAGGTTAATATGATCTCCAAGGGCCGCTTTTTTTTCGTTTTGCAAATCATTCTTGCTGCAGCCGCAGTCGCGAGTCTGTTGACATTAATTGGGGAGGGGGGGGGATGGGTGGTGGGGGCGGTGTAACGCCTCCTCGCACGAAGCGGCCGCAGTAATCAGATGTACCTCCCGTACCCTTCCACTCCGCCTTTGTACCTCTCCGTTCCCAGGCGTTCGTTGCGTTAAAAGCGAAAGTGATTTCCCGCCCATCATCCTGCCTCCAGCTCTATTGAGCCGGTGGTGGAAATTCCACATTCCTATGGCTGAGACGAGTCTGGTTTAGAGACCACGTCACTCGTAATTCCCGTTGGCCTAGGTCTCTCTTTCTCTCTGAGTGTATGTATGTTGTGCAGGGTCATTGCACGAAACATTAGCCCACTTGCTATGTATTTGTTTTTAGCTGTAAGCCATTGTTAATAATGGAGGTGGATGGGTTCATGATTTGGTTGTAATTTTACACCACTTCCAAAACAGCTCCCTAATTATAATGTCCGTACAGCATGATCATGGATATTACTATCCCGTATATATAGAACAATAGTACACACATACACACACCATAATTCACAGCCCCTTCGTGAAGCCACAACTGGATGAAGGTCTCCGTACGCCTTATAATGGTCACGGGGAGGTCGTTTGACCATACTTCACCACGCTGGTCATTGCGGGCTCGTGATCGGTGGTGGTGGTGCTCATGCAGGCTCCGGTCTAGACATCTATCGCCGCTGATTTTAAATCCATGGCCGGGACTCGAACTCAGGTCGCTCGGTTTGCAGCGCAGCGCAAGAACCACACCACTGCACCACCACCACCACGGCCGCTCCCTACGTGCTCCATGGTTATCTACAACCATGCGACAACCTCACCCTCCCACTCGAGACACAGAGAGAGGGACAGAGAGAGAGGGAGAGGGAAGACTTCTTGTCTGAAAGGATAATCTTCGTCTACTGCTGCTACGACTGTGGTACCTGTCTCACGTGGCCTCAGGAGGCCTCAGGAGGCCACGTGAGATGTAATTCCACCCACCACCCTCTGCGAGGAAGGACAATCGAAACCCACTCAGCGTCTCAATTGCGCGCTCTCAATGCTGGGCATCATCCCATCATCATCATCAGGCAGTGTCTATCCACTGCTGGATGAAGGCCTCTCCACGCCGTCGCTATTTCTCACGGTCCACCGCTGCTATGAGCATCTCACTTCGACACTCCGAGCTGACATCCGCCGCTCCATCTCCGCGGCGGTTGTTCCTCGTGGACGCTTTCCCTCCTTTGGCTGCCATTCCGTCACCAGTCTCGTCCCGTCTCGCGATGACCTCTCGTGGCCCAAGCCCGCCGCTCGTCGTCACTGTCACAATGTTTCTCTGATTTGTCTTCTGTTTTTGCAGATCCCTCTCGTTCCCCCCTTTTTTTGTAACGAGAAATGCGCGCAATGTGCGCAACTGTTGTGCACAAAGTTGCGCAACTGTTGTGCATGTTGCCGCGTCTCCGTTTGAGGGGTCATATCAAACACAGACAAAGATGCCCCGTGTAGCCTTCGACAGCATGCTGGGACAAGTGTTGTTAGCGAGCACCTATTCTGGCCACGGAGCGGGTGGCCAGAATCACACAATGACCGCCTCTTTAGCCGCAACGCCATTATTTGCACACCGCACCGGGTACTCGGTTACGGCTGAGTCGACCTAGGGTGTATAGGATCGGTTCAGATATCCGTCAACGAGCGGGAATCGAACTCGTTTCGCCTGTACGATCACCACTGCGCCGCCGCTCCCCCAGCCCCGTTCACAAGCGCGCCTGTCAGAGTTACCAACGAAGTGTGAATCGAACTCGGGTCACCCGAACACCGAACACCATTGGCCGATGGCTCGTGAACTCGAGTCTGACGCACGCACGACTCGGCACACATGCACCTCGGCCAACTTAGCTGTCACACGCATCGGCCCAGAAGGCATATCATCATCAGCATCATCCATGCGCGTGCAATTTTGGAAAGTTGAACACGTGCTCAGGGAGGTTCATGTTACGATTGAATGGGTGCTCTCTAACAGCACTTGCCCAAACAGTCTGTTCAAGGCTATAATGATCGGGGAATGTGGGTACCTTTGTATGTACCGCTATTTATTGACACGGTGAAGGATTGAGCT